TATATATATATATATATATATATATATATATATATATATATATATATATATATATTGTATACATACACATAAACATACATCCTGCAATTACTGTATTACTGTTGAACGCACACACACAAATATGTGCTGTTAATATATGATATATAAATATGAGTGTGTGTGTGTGTGCGTGTGCGACTGTGTGTGTGTGTGTGTATGCATTTATGCGTATACAACGGAGAATCAGGAGAAGGAAAAGAAAACATCAGGTCTATCATGTTGATTTTATTGAATAATGCCATCAGTGAATGGAAATGAAGCCTTACAGGCAGTGAGACGAGAATATTTTTACAACCGCCATCGCAGTGTTCACAGGCATTTGTGCGGAAATGTCTTGCACTGAACATTCTGGTTTGCACATGCTTCCTCATCCCAGAATTCCACCAACTCGAAGCGAATCTAGTACAAGCTTGTCTTTCCTATAAAGACATTGAATAAAACATGAAATTCTGGAGTGAATTGCGCAGATCTGCATCCTAGCCTTTCTGTATGAAAAGTTGTGCAGTTCAGTCCTTCTCTGGCCAGTCTGGTAAGGATGTTAAAGGATGTCTCCGTCCTTACATGTCTGTCAGCATTCGTTATCATGCGCATTTGAAACCGAGGACTGCACTCGAGATAATTTGCGATGTTCAGGAATTTCTAATATGTATTTGGATAATCGTTGTCTTTCGTAATCAGCGCAATTAGATTAAACTTTTAGCTGAATCGCACGTGACATGAATCTGGCCGGATTTGCGCACTTAGGAGGCACAATTATCACGCAATCGCACTTGTTCAGATATTGCATCATCGCACCTGCAAAAAATCCGGCACTTTCCAGTCTGGTGCTTTGGCCACAAGAACGTTCCTGAGAATAACATCGACAGGAATTCCTGGCGAAGATTGTCAGAAAAGCCTTTCCTCGTGAGGATTTTCCCAAGGTCTTCCTCGAGAGGTCTTTTCCATCTCCGGCGAGTCCATTCGCCGGCGTCTTGAGTGTTCAGCGCACACGAGACGAGCCTTCCTCTAATTTTGCATTTGTGTTCAATCCAGTTTCTTAAACTACGAAATGTCTCCAGTGCTTAAGTCAGATGTTACCTGTCGGAGAGATAAAATTATGGCACTCATAAGTCAATATTATTAACATGAGAAATCCTGATCTAAATATGTTCTTCCTAATTCCAATATCACCCACGTGGAGGGAATAAAAGTTTAATAATACCGTTTCACTGACCTTCTTAGCTACGGTGATGGTGAGGAGGCCGTCGCGGGACAACACTGAGCGCACAGTATCAACGCTGACGAGGCTCGGGAAGAGGAACCGGCGGTAGAAGCCCTTCCTCGAGGCGGAGTTCCCTTCGCCGTTTTCCGCGCAGCTCTCGATGATCAGCTCGTTCTCGTTCACCACGTCGAACCTCACGCCGCTCGCCATGAAGGCCTCCACGTCCACCACGATCTGGACAGGAGTAGTAGACATCCGAGGTTGTAATGTAAACAAAGCAATTCGGTCGGATCTTACATGACGTGCTCGTAAAAGCAACTTAAAGCGGGAAACTATAACGGCAGGAAATCTATACCGAAGCGAGAACTGGTTGTGGAGAAAGTGAGATCCTGTTTCGCCGTCTTCCGTTTTATTGTATATAGTGATGATATATTGTTTCTTCGTAATGAGAAGGCTCCCTTAACAGTTTCATAATTAAAGAAGACATCTCTCAACTAACCTTGTAACACTGGTTATCCTCGCTAAAAAGTAGGCTATGGTTTCGTGCGAATTACGTTCGTCAAAGCCTATAAATGTGCCAATGCGGTCACTCGCTGAGCCGGATTGTTCCTGCACAGGGGGTGGGGCGTACATCTGAATCGGGGCCATGTTGTTTGTACACGCACACACACGCAAACAAAAGACAGATGTAAGCGGACGTGTAGTTTATCCGAATACTGAACGAGCTGTGACTGGCAGCGCTGTCGGAACGCGAGATACTTATAGGGCGCGACTTGGCCACCGCCCACCACCTTCCCGTGCCAGATGACGTCATAACCGAGTCTAATATCTCCCTAACAGTATATCCTATACTTTCCTTTTACCGAAAAA